AGTTCCGAAAAATCGTTCTTTTAGAAATCTAAAGATTGTGAAAAGAGGTGTTTCTTTTGCAAACTAGGAGAGAAGAGTTAGAAGTATATATATATATATCAATGAAAAGCAAGAGCTCGAAAAAATTTTTTCATGTTTGAAAAGGGGGAGGGGTACCCTTCAAGAATATGTACAGTCTGTTATCCATCGAGCAGAAAAAATAGAAAAGAGTATGCTTTATCTTTAGATCAACATCACATTCAGATTAAAAAGTTTCATTGAGAACTCTAAGAGTACGATTCAAGTTTGGAGCGATAAAAGAATTAATCAATCAGCTTCGGGTCCAAAATTCTGATCGATCAGGTCCGAACCCGAATCTACAAAAAATTTCACTGATGGGATCCAGGTTCAATTCTCGAATCAGACGGACTCTAGCCCCCGCTCAGATCAGCATTATGCATTACACACTTCTACATGTTAGGAATAGTTTGCGGCATCTGTGCACGACTCACATCTTTTAATAATGATTTACAAAGTTTTCTTCTTTATATGTTCGTTACGTGTCATTCCCAATAAGCGAACATAATTGAATAATAGTCATCAAGATTTGCTCATCGTTGTACATGTCGTATCTTGGATATAATTTCTATTCTATTGTCACCCCCATAACTATCACATAAAGAAAATAATTGAATATATTCCTATTTTTTTAGGACTACAGAGACAACAACGATGTCCCCCGGTAGGATCTATACGAATGTTTTTTGATATGATAACTGTATTGTTACAATAAAAACTAGGAAATGGCATCAACTGGCCACTGGTTTTAGGCTTGTCAGTTTCGGCTATCGTGCTGCTTGTATGTTGTTGCAGTTGTATATATTGCTGTTGTTGGTAAGACTTTGACTTTGACTATTTTTATAAAAGAAGTTGTCGATATATATTATTTTTACAGAATTCGAATTGAGATAACTGTTTGTGCATCTAAAAAAAGCAGCTAGCTTAAGACACACCCCCTCCCCCTGTCAAAAATCGATCTCAGCTCAGGTACGTTCAAATGGCATGAAATTTTCAGAATATGTTGAGGCTGTAGCGGAGAGGCTATGGTAAAATTTTCAGCTCGATAACATGACGTTTGACAGAGATATGCACCAAACAAGGGTTAAAAATAGCTCATTTGGCAAACAAGATTTCTCTGTCCGGGCTCTTTCAATATATTAAATTTTTTTTTGTTTGAAAGAGCATGTCAAGATGCAGTACCTACCAGAGTCCTTTTTTTTAATTCTTACTTTTTAAGCGGATAAGAAAGATCACAAGTTCAATGACTCAAAAAACCGTCTAAAAATGAGCGCAAATTTACATAAGTGACTGTATATATAATAAAAATCAAGCTTAATTTAAAAAAAAAGGCTCTGGTAGGCATTGCATCTTGACAAGGTCTTTCAAACAAAAAAGAAATTTAAATACATCACATGGACCTGGACTGAGAAATTTAGGTTGAGCGTTCGACATATCATGAACTGAGAAAAAACGAAAAAGATTTTCAGTTTTTTTCTAAAAACAGCTTATTTTTCAAATAGGGGGTGACGGAAATCTTCAAGAATTTTTGGAAAAAATGAGGTGTCGAGTAAAACTTTTTGTCGTTTATGAGAGATCAGATCACGGACTATCTACCCCTGCATTTATCTTAATTGACGAAAAGTGACTTTTTTTTGAGGGAGAGGGCTTAACTAAAGTGTTTTAGAGACGAATTTCATTCCAACCTAAAATCAGAAAATAGTTGTTGAGTTTCACTGTCGAAATTCTTTGATGTTAATCAGAATTTTATTTTAAAACAGTATTCCTGCTGCACCTGTTGAAGATTCAGACAATAGTTGTTGGATGTATCATATAACCAGTTATCCTGATTTCGAATATGATGTCGATTCAAACTCGTCAGTTGAATTACCGACTATGATAACCAGAAGTATAGTGAATGCGGATGTAATCACACCAGTAAATACAATGGCAACGGCATCTGTCATTCCAGCTACTACATATACTGTAACAAATAATCGTGCACCAGTTTATCAACGTTTTCCTATTGGCAATGTTAGAGAACAGAATATGCAAAATTTTGTAAAAACATACCACATTCAGGGTGCGAAATCGGAAGTAACGAATCAAAAGAACTTGAGCGGCTTTTATAACCCCCCGATTACAACTAGTCAGGCCAGCACTGCCAAACGATTTCACAATAAAGTGTCGGTATTTAACCCAAATCAAGTGGCCAATGTGATGCCCTACCATATTCAGAACATACAACATGAAAACTTCAATACAGACTCACCCGTAGATCAACCACGGGAAACACCCACACTCACGCCTAACGTTATCAAGTTGTCAACGCTCTCTGCACAACGAAACCAATAACAATCCGTGAACAACGTAATTCGTTTTCGTCGATAAATCACAAACTTATTATTTCCAAACGTATAAACTCTACTTTTGACTTTTAACCCTTTACTCCCCGATGGGTCATATATGACCCATTTGTAGACATGATCACAGAAAATAAAGAAAGCATGAGACTGAAAAACTCCCAAGGCATTATTTGTAGGGAACTTCACAAGCTACCGATTGGTAAAAAAAATATTTTGTTTCGTTGCTCTGCCTTCGAGATATATGACTTACAAAATTGATAATTTTGAAAAAAATGCAAAAATTCGAAATTTTATAAACAAAATGTTCTCTACTTGCAATCGATAGGAGTCTTTTGGAATTTCTGTGCGATATTAATCGATGAAGAAGTCCACTGCTGAATTAGATGCGTTTCGAAAGCTTCATGATAACTCCGCGAATTATGCATACTAAGGAACACAATTAACCATGTAGTCACTGTTAGGCAGATGGAGGGTAATCAAGAACAAAGTTAATATATGCGTTATAGACCTCAACTCATGAGAAGTCGAAATAATATTTATGATGAATTAAATTCCTTCAGACGTCACAAAATGGCTCAGAGTAAAATAGGCTTAAATTTGACAATAGGTGTAAAAAAGCATGTATTCGTTGATGTTAATTTTTATCGGTTTACTCCTTGCGTTTTTCCTATCACTTCAACAGTATGAGATAGATGCTGCTTCTGTCCAGTCAACAATGTGGTCAAAGAAAAAAAAATTAAGTCTTATGATGTCGTTCAATTCCCATTTTCCACCACATGATTTTTACATCAATCAAACCGCCCTACTTCAGGAACAGAACATTTGGTGGATTAGGCCACACCATTGGCATATTTAGCAGGCTAATACTCTATTCATAAAGTTATTTCATCAGTGGCTCTTCTGGAACCTCTATGGGGGGTAAAGGGTTAATATCAATATTTAAATAAATTTAAAAATAATTACTATATTTTTTTTTATTCACTTATCTCTTGTCCTTGTAAATGTGCCTACCGATCATCAAATGATCCATGCAACATATTTTTGTATTAGTCGAGTGTCTCAAAAAATGTCTATATGTTTCTTTACGGTGACTAATTCTCAGAATGTTGATAGCTAGGATAAACAAGCAGTGTCAAATGCTATAACAATGTCTACTTTTCTCAAAAATCCGTTGAAAAAGCAACAGATTCTACCTTATATGTGCATCAACAAAAGTTTTGGATGTGATGTGCATAAGTCTACAATCTGTACAATGGACTAAAAGATTCATACATTATTTAGCGAAGTCTTCTATTTTTTGTAATATGGTGTTCATTGTTCCCATTAAGAACCGTAACAATTTTGAGCAATCTAAAAGGAAAGAAAATTTAACAGTTGCATAAGGATGGACGTATGGTTGTACATAGTTTCAGCTGTGCATCTTCTGTTTAAAAAATCTCATAGTCGTACGCGTCCAGATTTAGCAATGATACTTTATATACTTGCATTAATTTATCATGATCAGAACAAATTTTAAAGAAGCACTAACATTATTAATAATAGCATTCGAAATAAAAAGAAGCACTCGATCTTGATCATCCTGCAGTAGCAGCAATTAAAAATAATTTAGTTGTACTTTAGAGAAGAAAAATTGATATAAGGAAGAGGATATTCGAATTAAAATTCTTTCTTTTTTACTATCATTAAGACATATCTTATAATTAAATAGAGCCACTGTTTAAACGAGCATTAGATATTCAAGAAAAATGCTGTAGTATAATTAATTCTGATGTTAAAAAAAAATTAAATAATTTAACGTAATTGTATTTCCATCAAAGTAAAAGAAATTTGTCTTAGTTTGTTGGTTTTTTTTGCTTAGGTAAATATGATAAAGTTGAAGAATAGTATAGATGTACTATTGATATATTTATCTATAAAACATTTTGATACAAATGATCTTACATCAGTATATTTACATGAATAAAACCATAAATTAGTAGCTCCGTTAAATTAAGAAGTTTTATCAACTGAACAATATCAATATTTATCGAATAATCTAAGAATGTAACATCGATTTCAATTCGAAATGGTTCGATAGTAATTATGGCATTAAAAAATTTTCGTACGTGTTTTTTTTGCATTTCAGAAACAGAAACTCATGATTTATTGTTTGTTTAGGAGTACTTTGTCATCGACAAGGTTTTTATAAATAAACTAGTTATATTGAATCATGTACAAACAATAATTAATTCAAGATCCAGACTCTGTTAAAATCGTACTTCATTTATTTTACGACAAATAAGAATCCATGATAATTCAATCAAGGAACAGTACAACATCCACAATAACAACAATATAATAACTATGGTTCAATGAAACGTGTATCATCATCGTTGATTCTCCATGGTGTAGATGTGGGTGTTAGGGTGTGAGTGTGGACTTATCTTCATTCATATTCAATCCTGTTGTTCAAATTTTCTATGATGTTCTTTATGTAATCTCTCATAATATGATTAATCATTGGTTTGTTAACTGCATATTGTCTGTACTGTATACATTGTGAACAACTGTCCGATTTCCACTTGCATATTCTTACCCATTTGCCACGCAATCTCGTTATACCAAAAGCACGCAAAAACGTCAGCTCTAGAGATATAGGTGGCAACGGTCGCCTCCCACACCCTAGTAATTGCTGCTTATTTATTCTCAATACCCAACTTACGGAATATTATGACATACCTTCTAATTTTCGAAAAAGTTGGCTGTTTTGCAGAATGAAAACATAATTAAGTCAACTTAAATAAGAGATCAATTGCATTTCATCATTCTTGCTTTGTTACTTATATATATATAATGAATCACAAATCCCTATTGCCCATTCCCTCCAGTGTTCCCACCCACATCTTACAAAACACTGTGGATGTTGGTATAGAATGTGTTTCAAGAGAAAATAGAAAGTCATTATCATAGGCTCAATGACATTCAGCCCCATATCCACAGTCACAATTGCACGAACACACTCGCATTCACATGCACACCCTAACCATCATCTGATATTCTGAATGGCATTTAAAACGACAGAAAAATAAATAAAAACACTAAATTTAAGTTTCAATGGAGCATGAGTACATATGCATAGCTGTAATTTTCTCGGGGAGTTCTCATTCTATATAGCTGAAACATGCAGAATAAATCGAGTAATCCAAAAATCTATGTGATATAAATATGAGCCCAAACTACTTTAGTAAGGAATGATAATCGAAAAAAGGAAGTATTTCATTTGTTTTGGCCAGGAAAATATATTTGAAAGTCACTTCAAGAATCCTAGAATTTTGAATTGATAGGGTTTTTTCTTTACAAACCTTTTCATCCACGATAATCAAAAAAAAACATGTCTCGTAAGTGTGTACTTTCTCGTCGTATATTTATTATCGAAAAAAAGCAACTTGCTATAATCTTAAGTAAAATTAACAGAGAACGATAGTGGAAATGATTCAATTGAGTCACACTGTAATCGAAATTGAATTAAAAGTTTTTTTGCTTTAGTTCTTTTTGTTTTCTCACCAATACGAACATGACAAAGATGTACTAATACAAATTCATTTTTCTTGAAAAACATGATTAAGTATATATATAGTGATGTTCATATATGAAACCTTAATAGACCAAAGTTGAACTTTCAATTGAATAATGGAGGCGAAAATCAAAGAGGATATAGATAACGAAGAAATGAATGAAAAGTAAGCACGATGATATAATTAGGTAACTAATATGAAAAATGTTTTAATATCGTTGTTAAAAGATAAATTTATTTCCGACCACCAAACAAAGCAAGAATATATAAAAATATATTAATGATATCCATATAAAGCATAAGTGATGCAAAAATATGATCTTCAGCATTTATTTCGAGTCGTTTTCCACCTATAATTAATTGTGTATCAACAGCTAAGAACTAACAATAGAAAATAATCTCTTATAATTTTCTTTTTTAATAATTAAAACTTACAATCAAAAACAATGCAGCCCCAAGACCAGCAAAGATTGTATACATTATCTTCAAGAAATGAATATATTTATGAAAAAACATAGCATAAATATTTTGTTTTTGTTAAAATACGTACTCTTGAATAAGTAAAAATACAAACAATGGCAAAAGCTAAAATTGCCAATGATAATACCAATAAAACTCCTGTACATACTGTAAAATCATATTTTGTTTGAAACGAAAATAATGTAACACCCAAACAAACAAATGCTGTTATGCCAACAGCGATTAACACCGATTCCGTTTTATAATATGCTGAAATCATACCCATCTAAAGATTTTACAAAAAAAAAATTAATGAACAAATTCTGTTTAAATAGAATCATACCATATATCCCATTGATAATGTCTAAAATGTAAAATTTTCTTTTTTAATTAATTTAATTTAATTTAATTTTCTATTTTACCAAAATGCCAAGTAAAATAAGATTAAGTGGAAATTTTCTTGCTGCATTTTTTGAACAAATCAATACAAAATAAGTAATCAGAAAAACAGCATAAGATGTGAAATAAAGCCATCGACCATTCGGATTTCGTACGTATTCACGAATCGATGGTCTACATTATATATCAGATAGTCATTTTCAATGTCTTTTATTAGAAGAAAAAAATTTACATAAAATGACATAATGCAATAAGACCAAATGTAATTGCTAATTGAATCATAAGAATTGAATAAACCTATTTTATAGAAAATTATTAAAATAAATATTTTTCTTATGAGTTTCGATTAGTACAAACCTTTCGAATAAATACACGACGAATTATATTGCTGTCAACATCAGTAAAATCTCCCCATGGCTTTTCGGCTTTCTTATCGTCTTTACAAAAACAAATACAAACAATCTTCGTTATCAACTAACATTAACCCTTTACCCCAGAATGGGTCATACGTATATGACCCATTTGTAGAATGAACACAGAAAATAAAGGAAGCATGAGACTGAAAAACTCCCAAAACATTATTTGTAGGGAACTTCACAAGCTATTGATTGGTAAAAACCATATTTTGTTTCATTGCTCTGCCTTCGAGATATATGACTTACAAAATCAATAATTTTGAAAAAAATGCAAAAATTCGAAATTTTTTCAACAAAATGTTTTCCACTTGCAGTCGATAGAGGTCTTTTGGAATACCTGTATGATATTAATCGATGAAGAAGTTCACTGCTGAATTAGATATGTGTCGCAAGCTTCATGATAACTCCGCGAATTATACATACTAAGGAATACAATTGACCATGTAGTCACTGTTAGACAGATGAAGGGTAATCAAGAACAAAGTTAATATATGCGTTATGGACCTCAACTCATGAGAAGTCGAAATAGTACGTATGATGAATTAAAGTTCTCCAGACGTTACAAAATGGCTTAGAGTAAAATAGGCTTAAATTTAACAATAGATGTAAAAAAAAAGCATTTATTCTTTTATGTTAATTTTTATCGGTTCACTCTTTGCGATTTTCCTATCACTTCAACAGTACGAGATAGAGGCTGCTTCTGTCCAGTCCATAACGAGGTCAAAGAAAAAAAAATTAAGTCTTACGATGTCGTTCAATTCTCATTTTCCACCACATGGTTTTTATATCAATCAAACCGCCCAACTTCAGAAACAGGACATTCGGTGGATCTGGTCACACCATTCGCATATTCGACAGGCTAATACTCTATTTATAAAGTTATTTTATCAGTAGCTCTTCTGGAACCGCTATTGGTGGTAAAGGGTGAAAACTTGTTAGCACAGCCCTTTTGCGGCTGAAATGCGGAACTCACATATTCCATATAAAAAATATGCTCAATGACCTGCATCTTTGGTTGCTAAGGTCGGTAACGGAAAGAGGGAGCCGCAAAACGTCGACTTAAAAACTGATGGCAAACTACTTTAACCATCAAATATTTTTGTGTTCTATATTAATAATAAATATGCTGCTGTATAGTGTCTTATCCAGCGTAAGAGACGATGAGAGGACGACACTTCGTCCAAGATTCATTTGGTTCTACTAGAATTTGTGCTCATCCTACGACATACAATTTGTCTATATTTATGAAAAAAAATATTCGGCATGGTTGACTTTGCAATCCTTCTTTCGGAAGAGAAGATCTAACTAAGATACAGATAGTATACCAAAACAATAGCTGCTTATGAATGAGTTTATAGAAATTCTATATTGTCCATTCTGAATTTTAACTAACTTTGAGTCGAGTGCAATTTCATATTGTTTTTATTCTTTCTTCTATGAAATGTATAAAATAAAAAATGTTTTTCAAAAATGAATACGTAGCTCCTGTTCATTTAGACGTATTCGAACTGTGCTCTTAATTTCAAGTAAATTTTTCCGTATGAGCCTTCAAAGCATTTCGCAGATGCCAGATAATTTTTAACAATTATTTGTATTCTTCTAATAAATAATAGAAGACTCTTACAACGCCATGTTTTCATCCATAGTACTTATAAATTTGATCTTTGAAATCGTAATGACTAATTATTTGACTTGAAAGTATTAATTTGAAATTGAAATTAAAAAGTAAAGAGGATAATACTATTACTTCTATTCAAAAGTTCCAGATAGAAAGACGAAAAAATTTGTTTTCCATCGAGTATTCAATGGTGATCTTCAACTTTTTTGTTATTTTTTTTCTTCGAATATGCAACATATAAAGCTGAAATTCGATTAAATAACAACAAATTTGATAAAATTATAGTCAATTTCATTTTGTAAAATAAGATCTGATACAATTTTCAAAGAATATTAATATTCACTTCTATATCTTTCGACAATGAAAAGCGAAAATATCACATGTATGTTATTTTAATTATAAAGAACGATTCCTATCTCCATATAAAGATTTAAGTATAAAACATACGTCAGTATCATCAGTATCTGAGATAAGAATGAATAAATATTTATAAAGTTAATCAATGAGCTTTTTCCTTAAAACCGTAATAACAAGAGAAATAAAGCATAATTAGAAAATGTTTTATGACCTAAAAAGTTTCAAATACGAAAATAGAACCAACCTTTGACAAGATCTGGGCGTGGTAATACAGTAGGTAATTGAGATGGCATTTGATTTTGACTATTGCTATCATCTGTAAAAGTGTATAAATAAAACATGAAAATCATTCAATTGAAAGAGGTACCGGGTTGAGTTGGACACGGCATATATCCAGATGGTTGTTGAGTCGGATTAGAGGAACTGTCCATATTTTGATCTTTACTCATGGTATTTATTTATTCTAAAAAGAAAATTTTATTGATAATATAAACACTGAACATTCTCAAACAAACGAAATTTCTTATTTAGCAAAGTAGCAAAACTATGTATATTCTCTAAATCAACGACACTTTCACTTTATTGGTTATATATGGATAGACGACATATAAAGAAGAATTGAAAAAATAATGAGTGATAGGCACGGAAATATAAAAACAAAAAGTACTATTCAAAGAAAACCTTATAGATAGTTGTAGTTACAATATTTTGACGTGCGAATATCAGTAATCAATAGAGATAATTCATTGGTTTTCTATAGACATTTATTTCTTGCCTTCTCCTTCCTCTTACTATATTGGTTCATCTGTTCTAATCAATGAGCGCAACAGATCGAAAGGTAGAGTAATATCTACATCAATGCGAGTGATTAGAAAAAGCCTGCATTCAAATAAATATTTAAAAGTATTTCTTTGAAGAAGAAATACAATAAAGGAGAGTATCAATGTTAGCTTCATCTCCATCTTTTTCATCAGTTATAATATTCATGTAGTAATCATGTTTTGGCACTGTTTAGACTATATATATTGCTCAAAATCAAAATAATCTAGCGTCTTCATGAAATCAAATAAGATCTACAATAAATAAATAATATTACTAATGCTTCAACAAAAGATTTTAAGAAGACGTTTGACTATTTTGGTTTTGAACAATATGTATAATCTAAACAATGATGCCTTATTAGTAATTAATCGATGAGTACTATAAATAATAAAAAATTCTATTTCTTTTTGACATATCATAGAAGCTACGGGATAAGAAAAAAGAATTGGGGCTTTCGGTCAGAACAGGCATACAGATATATCCAGTGAGTAGCAAAATTTGTTCAACAAGATTTATTTTTTTCTGCAACCTTACAAACTAAAATGAATCCAACTAGTAATCTGAATAGAGAAGACTGTCTCTAATAAGAATATGAGTTAATAAAAATGATTATCAAATTTCCGACGATTGAATCTTCAGAAAACCGAAACCTATAGTTTCTCATCACGTAGAACAAGCAAAAATATTTGTCTGCTACCTACATAAACCAAAGAATTCTCTATTTTATTATTTCTTATTAACAAGTCACTATGAACAAGATTATGTTTGCTTGTTAGACGTGGTGAGAAACTACTCTAGTCTCAATCCTATTCATCTCTTGAGAAATCTTGAACTTCTAGAATTTTGTAAAGTTTTCCTCAGGATCCTAGCTCAATTCTTGATAACTCTTGTTTCCAGGATTTCTCACGATTACACAGGATTCTGTTCAAAATTTCTTCATATTCCTATTCAGATTTTTTTCTAAATTATGAATGCAAGAGCCTATTAGGATTCAATCATGATTCCGCTTAGAATTCTTACAGAAATAAGAGAAAGGATTCTCTCAAGATTTTATCAAGTTTTAGACAGAATGTATCTGAATTCTGCTACAATAATCCAGTGAATGATTACAGCTGAAACCGAGGAATATCAAAACAAGAAACCAAAAGATCACGGGAGCATCGGTCTCTATGACAGGTATTTAAGATAAGTCTGTGTTCGCACTACGATCACAACCTTGTTTCGCAATGATTGCCAGTTCAAAAATAATGGGAGTCTGTTCTGAATCCTGCCAAGATATTGAAATTCCGTGACTGCAGCCTTCTTTCAGAAATTAGTCATCTCCTCAGGAAAAAAAACGAATTTCGAAAGGATCTTGACTGGAGCGATTAAGGATCTAGCTCAGAAACATCAAGAATTTTCTCTAGGTTAAATGTAGTTGTCTGGAATCCTTTTCGTTGGAAATCTGATAATAATTTGTATTGAGTCACATTTTTTGTTAGTAACGATGTTTTCTACTATAATCACTAGTTGAATTCTTTTTAGCTTTCAACCTTACAGAAAAAAATTGAAAGTAAACCGTACTAAACAACTTTGGTGCTCACTCTATATTATTTAAATAAAATCTTAAAAGAGGAAAAAAATGACAAAATCTTAATAAATATTGTTATTTTAAGCAAGATTACAAAAAAAAAGAATTGAAAAATAAATTCTGCAATTTATTGAAACATTTTCTTCTATAGTAAACATATAAAATCTATTAAATTTGTCTGAGAATATGATTTTTGATCAGTAGAATGAAATGGTCAGTACCAAATTGGTCAGTAATTAATTATTAATTGATCAGTTATTTTAAAGAAAGTACGGATGTGAGTGACTCAGCTATGGTGTATAGTTACAAAAGTAGGATTGAATAATAGCGTGAGGCTAGGAGTAGGTAGATGTGCATGAAGAGAAAGTTCATCCATCCATATAAGTGGCCTAGTTGACTCATGTTTAATATTCGTACGATTAGCATTAACCAAAAATACACACCTCACGTTCGAGCCAAACCGTAGAAGAATAATTGGTTATAATGAACAACAGCTTGATTTTATTTTGTTTTTAAGATATTGGTGAACGATTTACACGAAAAGAGTAGAGATTGAAAAGAATGAATGGTAGGAAGAAGTACTCGGCGAAAAACAGTATGCGAAAACAGCATCATGGAAACTGAAAAAACCTCGACGAACAATGGCATTCAGAGACAAATGATTGGCATGTTAATAACATATGAAAGAGACAAAAAACACGAGAGAAATGCATCACTTGTTTTTTCATTGTAAAGACTGTCTTTTTACTGGTCTACTTTTCTTCTCGTCAATATAGAATCAGATCTGCATCTAGTACGGGGAAGAATTATCCTAAATAGAGTGATTTACGGTACAGGAGTGTCAGCAACGAGTAGGAAAGGACCTAGTAGAGATGACTAAGAAAATGTGCATATAGAAATAACAGTATTATGGTGATAGATAGCATGATGCAGAGAAAAAACGATAAATAAAAGGCATAAAAGTAAAGAAGAAAGACAAAACGTGACAAAAAATAGATAACAGATAGTTAGCGTTTCACCTAAGCAAATAAAAATATCGTTCTTACCAGTCTGCTTATCTTTAGGCCTATACTATAGAGACTAGACCTTTCTGTAATGAGAAAAGCGCAGAGAGCGAAAGAGATAGACCAATAGCAAAAACTAGAAATGAGGTAAAACGGTAGTTCTCCGAACGTAATGGTAGTTGGTATGTAAGAGCATCTATTGTCCTTCGACGTAGATGACTTTTTCGAGAGAAAAACAAAATCATGAGTGTGGAATGTGGGTGTGGGCGAGGATGTGAGCGTTTGTCTTCTCTTCACCTAAACCCCACACCATTTTTTATAAGAGGTAAACTCGGCTATTATTCGATTGGCTCACCAAGGCCAACTCTTACCTTTTCAGATGAATGTTTCTCTTTTTGTTTTATTCGACAAGTATAATACTTGAGGTATTAATAAAAAATAGCAATTGTCTATGTGAATTGATAACAATAAACGGCACAATAACTATCCAAATACAATATGAAAATGTTGAATCTCGTTATCTTATACCGAAGGAAAACTAAATATAAGAAAGAAGAAAAGAGAAAGACAACTATTAATCATCAATAGTTTCTGTAAGATATTGTCTATCAATATATGTATATATATACATTGCTATCATTTGATTTTTCTTTCATTACAACCTAACGAAATAATGCGTCTGATTATTAGATTTATGCTTGCTGCACTTCTATTTCTGAACAGTATTCCACGAATCAACGCTCATCTTAATCTTCGTCTATGACGTGATACTCGAAATTATGATGATCTAATTACTTCAAAACGAGAGATGAAAGCTGAAGACGATGATGAAATCTTAAAAACCTTAACTGAAGGTCAAGAAAGTTATGCTGAATTTAAAAAAAGCTTCAAAAAGCTCCTCAATGATTGAAAAGAAGATGATCAACAAATTGTTATCTATATCGTTAATGTGACTCAAATGATTGTAATACATTCATGTATACAAGAGAATAAAATAGCAAAATCAATGCAGTATAAAGACTACAATAATTTTGTAGAAATATATCCCACGGTTCAATATCAATATGATCAAACAATCGAAAGACATATGGAAAAGTTCGATAAAGCTCATTAAATAATGTTAAAGAACACAATTGATGCATTAAAAAAAAATTAGCATTATTTTCGTGCAAACACTTATTATTAATGGAATGGCGAAATATTTGAACAAAAATTGAACTCTCATAATATGACTATATGTAGATTCACAAATTCTGATTAATGAATTGTGTAATATGCAGTTCATCTGAATTTAATCGTATAGTTCTTTTCAAATAAAAAAATGAGGGTGTGGGTGTGGAGTGGGTGTGGAGTGGGTGTGGGTGTGGGTGTTGGTGGACGTTCAGTATCGCGACAACCACACTCACACCCACCCTTCATTATATCCATTTGGCTTACGTACAGACTCTGCATGAACTTTATCAGAATACGTACAACTTCATGGAATCAACTCTTTCTACACGTCGTTAACGAAACATTATGTCCAAGTGCTATTATCATGGTAGCCATTGTCTACATGCCGTCGGATCTTGCATATATATTTCAATTTGTCAATTGAACTCGAGAACGACGATTTCCAATGTGGTTACATCGATGGCTATTAAGAAGAAAACAACTCGATATATTGATAGTTGCTACAGCTCTTTCTCACTGTGTTATGACACTCATTCTTATCACACATGCATATTATTCTTCATGGTTTCATCCTGCTGAAGTCATCGTTTGACCATCGACAATCAGATACAAATCGTCCTGGAGACTATTCTCATCCTTGCAAAAGACAAAGGGGCATCTCTGTTAGGGATTTTCATTAGGGTGTGGGTGTGAGGTAATAGAATGAACACGAACACGAGCCCAC